TTTTATTTATTTTCTACCGCTCTCTGCTTCTTTTTCTGTTGCTAACTTTTTTCTTTTCTTTCGTAAATTTTGTTATTTTTCTTAATATTTCAGTCTGTTTTAAACATTTAGTAAGGTGTTGGAAAAATTTTGGTTGTAACAGGCATAGAATATAACAACATGTGTTACTCAAACATTGTGTAAGCTAACTTTCATTATTTCACGTCACTCGTATCGAAAAGTCACAATTCATTCCTATGACAAAGACTTATAATTAAAATCATAAGAATAAAGTGAAAGATGTCATCTAACTTCCATAGAATTCGCCTAAGCATTCTTGAAAACCATAAGCTGAATTACTATTCATAGCAGAGGTTCAAATAAGTCATCGGATCTACTATATTGCCTGCTTGAAACTAAGAATTATTTTTTTTATTGTTCAGCTGCACACTATTATGTCTAAGAATAGATTTCTTTTATTGTGCTGTTTCATGTAACACTCGAAAGTGCTTACAAACTAGTATAAGGGAAAAATTTTAATATTTAAGCAATAAGCTACAATGAAAGCAAAAAGTTTGACCTTTTCTTCAATATTGCTTTATCAGATAATGACTTATCTTATGTAAGTATTAAGAAGAAAGTTATAGAAGAGAAGAGAGAGAGAAAAGCATACAAAAAATTTAAAAATTCAAGCCGCAATGAGTAAGAGAGATAGAACTAGAGAGAAAACTTGTAAGCGTTAGAAGAATCCACATACATAAGTAAGGAAGACCAGTAAGAAAAGAAAAAATTTAGCAACAGAAAAGAAGCAGAGAGCGGTAGAAAATAAATAAAAGGAAAGAAAAAAATTCAGCTTGTTCTGTTTCTTCCATATATACTATTTTATTTTGGTAAACGATATCCATCTTAAGAGAAATGATTCATGCTTCTCTATCAATTGTTTTACACGATTTCTACGGAAAAACTGTCCAAGGTGATCTTTCTTTCTTTTATGAAAATCATCCCAAGGAAAAATATCATTATAAAAGGATGCATGACCAATAACAGTTGTGTGCATATGTTTTAATCTTTTTTGAATGTACTTTTTAACATAAAAATCTAGTGTTTGTTCATTAGCCATGGTGAAAAGATTACGAGCTGAGGCAAAAGAACATCGATGTACAAGTCTTAGACTCATACGAAACTTCTGCTGAAGTGCTTGTTGTTGAGAGTCAGGTAATAGTGGAAAGAATGGAAACATCCAAGCAAAATGAGGAAATGTGTAAGCGAAAAAACATTGTCTAAGTGTCATTATGGACACAAGCCATCTCGCCTTTGGCCATCTAAGCTTTCTTAAAGATTTCTGGATGTTCCTTATACATCTATCAACTGTTGGTTTTAAGGATAGTTTACTTGTCCATGTAAATCCTAGATATTTAAATTCATTTACTAGTTCGATAGTTTGACCGTTCATCTGTAGATTTATTTTTGGTTCTTTTATTTGTGTATAGATTATTTGGGCAACTGTTTTTGTTATATTTATAGGCTGTTTCCACTTTTGAGAGTACTCATAGATCTGTTTACACACACGTTTACCTTCACGTTCTAAATATTCTAGCATTGGTGCCAGTTTGATTGAGATAGACGGCTTTATAATGACACATAAATCATCTGCAAAAATATGACCTGAATGAGCTCCAATGCATTGAACTAGATCACAATGGAAAACGATGAATAAGTATGGGCTTAGGTTACTCCCTTGAGGCAGGCCACTGTTTATCTCGAATGCTTCTGATGATTTTTCTTCAAAACTATTATGCCTAAGAACAGATTGTGATTACATTATTCAGTTTATTTATCTGTTTTATACGAACGGTTTACTAATTCTATTTGTTTGATTTCTTATCTAAATTATCGTAATATGACAAGACTTGATTGTCCTCTAAAATAATTTATTAAATTCATTCAAAATGTCTAACAGATGTTTCATATAAGCAGAGAGAAAAATCAACTATCACAGTTTCGATCAATAAATAGACAAACGAGACAACAATGAAAAGCATAGAAAAAAACGCAAATTTGCAAAACATAAAAGATCAAATAAACCATAAAATAAATGAAAAGAAAAACATGAACCAAATAAGAGAGAATACTTTTAAGTCTGTTAATTATAAGTTTATTAACTAGGATTATTGAATTACTGGTGCTACTTTCCGTGTTCGACCACCTGTCAGGAAACCCATCATTAGCGTTTCTGTGACAACAGCACGCCTTATTTGATGGCCAACTGCAGTGATTTTTTCAAATTTTGTTCGAAGTTCAGGCAATGAGAAAATACTGACAACAGGAGTGAGAAATATAATAAAGTAAGTAAAATAGAAACTATCAGTTTCATAATCAGCAACAATATTTGCTGGTAGACCAGCTGTACGAGCGGTTTTCAAGATCATTGGTGGAACATTTAAAAAAATAAAGACAGCAGATATTGATAATAACTGAACTGCCATTTTTCTATAATTTCTCCATTGAACTGGTTGACGAATTTGATATTTATATATATTACACGTACAAGAAGAGCTATGCTAAAGATTGCAATAATAAATGTGGGGGCAATATTGTTTCCTATAGCATCCCATATCCCAATTGATGCAATCTTAAATGCACAACTATGAAGACTACAATATGCTTTTTTATAGTTGAGTGAACTTCCACAAGGTAGAACAAAATATATAATAATATAATAGATAAAAGGATAAGCAGAACATATAGCCAAAGGAAAGTAATGAAAGAGAATGCGTTTTCTTCGTGACCCCATCCAATTTTGATGAAAAATGAGAATGTGTCTCTCAATCGATGCCCAAGCC